GCTAATATAAGCAGGTTCGTCGTCGACAATATCGAAGATCGAATGTTTTTTAGGCTCGTCACTGTCTGTATCCGTGGCCGATGGATTTCTCGCTGCCTGTATTTCGTGAGTAGAGAGAAGACCATCGTCCACGTCGCTATGAGAATTCACTGTAGACTGTTGTTGATGATGTTGCGCGTCTCGGTGATTTGTTCCCACGGAAGATTGCTCAGTCGATGGACTCGAATTTTTCGAAAGTTCCAACCTTGACAGAAATTCTTTATCGGATTCATGCGAGACTCTTGGGCTACGCTCCCTCGACTCCTTTTCCGATCGATTCTTTTTACTCCTTTGTTTCTCCTTGTTTCCGCTGTCCCTCGAGTTGTTTTCCCGTGTCGATTCGTTATGCATTCCGTCCCTGCTATCTTGCGTTGCACTACCGCTTTCCTTACTGTCACGACTTTCCCTGCTCTCTCGACTAGAACGATGCGAGTCATTACGATGCTTGCGATCTTCGGATCTCCTGTTTTGTCTAGAGCGATCTTTGCTATCTCGTCGATGATCCGAAAGTTTCACACGCTTAGCATCCTCATCTGTGGGACAATCCTGAGACGAACACCTACGCTTGATCGGCACTGGTGCCGGAGCGATCTGAGTCTGAGATTGCGTAATAGAGGGATGTAGATGATTCTCGGTCGACTGTCGTCTGTTATCGTCACGTTCTCTCTTCTCTTTATCCTTTTCTTCGCGATCTTTTCTCTTGTCACGCTCGGCCTTCTCTTTCTCCCGCCTCTCTTGATCTTCGCGTTCCCGTCGCTTTTCCTTTTCATGTTTTTCTCTCTCGAGTTTCTCGAGTCTCTCCCGTTCTTCTTTCTCGCGTTTCTCCTTTTCCAACTTTTCTCGTTCTTCCTTCTCTTTTCGCCGTTCACGTTCCAGTCTCTCTTTCTCTTCCTTTTCTCGTTTTCTTTCTCGTTCAAGACGTTCCTTCTCTTCTCTCCGTCTTTCTCGTTCCAATCTGTCACGTTCTTCTTTTTCTCTTCTTTCTTGTTCTTCCCTTTCCTTTTTAAGACGCTCTTTTTCTTGTTTTTCACGTTCCAAACGAATTTCCCGTTCTTTTCTTTCGCGTTCTTCGCGCTCTCTCCTTTCACGCTCTTCACGCTCCCTCCGTTCTTGCCGTTCCTTCTCCTCACGTTCTCTCCTTTCACGATCGAGACGTTCCTTCTCTCGTCTCTCTTTTTCTTTAAGCTCATTCTCTTCTCTCTCCTTTCTCTCACGTTCTCTTTCTTCCCGCTCTCTTCTATCTTTCTCCTGTCGTTCCTTATCTTGTCTTTCTCTTTCTCGCCTTTCCTCATCTTTTTCGCGCCTCTCGCGTTCTTCCCTCTCTTTTTTCTCTTGTCGGTCACGATCTTCTTTATCCCTTCGTTCTTGTCTATCACGATCTTCTTTATCCCTCCTTTCTTTCTCTTCTCGCTCTTTTCGCTCATACCTTAGTTCTTTATTTTCTTTAAAATCTCTATTGTGATTATCCGTGTTGCTGATATCGCTCACAACGTTTAAACTTTCTTTTTCGTCTTTATCTTTGCGATTTCTATCAACATCGGCTTCTTCCTTCCGCGATCTTCTTTGACAATCTTTTCCTTTACTATGTTTCGACTCCCTACTTTCCTTTCCGTCGCGGGAATCTCTGCTCTCTCGACTGCTACTACTCGTTTCCTTCTTCAAACGAGAACGATTCAAATCTGTGGAAGATGTGGATAATGACGATGAAGAGGAAGAATTGGATGAGGATGTTATGGAAGACGGTGGAGCTATCGAACTGGTAGTAGTCATGGAAGATATTGCGGAAATCGCTGTTGTTGCTACTGTTGACGAGGTTGTTGCAACAGGTACCGCTGTTGTTACTGCAGTTGAAAAGGCATCTGTTGGCGCCGCAGTCACCGTGGGCGATGCGGTGGTCGCAGAGATGCTCAATCCCCGATGTGTCGAGGCTCCAAGAGTGTGAATGCTACTTATGCTACCATTACTGCTTAGAAGACTACTGGCTGACGCTAAACCACTACCGTTACCACTATTGGCTGCCGTTCCACTAATGAGACCGATCGGTAGAGAAACCGGTGGTAATTCAGGACTAACTGTCTTGATAGAAGTACCAGGTGTAATCGGCGTCGCTGGCGTTGGATGTATGCAGTTATGTTGCACTATCCGCGGGTCGGTCTTCAACATCGACGGGGCCATCGAGGTCGTCGTCGCGGTCAAACTTGTGGCCAATGACGTATTTATGCCGACTTGACTAACCGAAGTACCGCTGGTCGGCTGTACCGGCGGATGACTAGGAAACGGATACTGCAAACAAACTTTGCTGGTACAGCCACTACTAGTGGTAAGACCAGCGGTGCTCCCGATCATAGAACTAACGCCAATAACACCAGTAAATTCTCGCGGTTCGTACTTTTCACTAAAGTTCTCCAATCGCTTCGAGTCTTCATCGAACACACTTCTTTTCGCGAGAACCGACTTGACGATGTCGGAAGGTTGCACCTCATGGAGATCCATATCGAGCAGTTTATGTCGAAATCGGAATCTTTCTGAAGCGCTAGCATCGAGTTTTGCCAGTGCATCACCGCCAGCAGCACTCAATGCTCTCGAACCTGACCACTTTTCGTATTTTTCGTCCAGAGAGCGTATCCTCTCCTCCAGACTAGGGGATTGCGGCGCTGTCTCGCTGTCGGAACTGGTTGGGCTCGAGCTGGTATGCCTCGGAGGCGGCGAAGCCGGCGGTTGTGGAGCGGCACGAGGACTCGGTGCAGTAGACAAGCTGGCACATGGTGGACTAGCAACTTTGGCGAGACTGGCACTGCTTGATCGCGTGCTGTTGCCATTGTTGTTATTGCTACTGCTTGTATTGTTGTTGTTGTTCAACATTTGTGCTGCAAACCTTGGTAAAGGCAGCGATAATGGACCTTCGTGACTCCTTTCTCTAAATCGTCTTGGTTCGCTAGGTACCAAATTCTCCGGTCGCTCGTCAACGAGAGGAGTACCTGGTCGAGATCCATCATGATGTTCGTGATGCCTATAAACATATGATTAATTTAATTTTGACAATTTATTTATATATATATATATATAAATTGGTGTATATATATGAAATATATACATATAGGTAGCACAGCTTACCTGCTGATGGCATCCCGACGACGTTTACATGGTCCAGGACCTCTGCCCTCGCAACTGCCTCTCCTTGTGCTATGATGCACCACTACTTTGCTATCACTAACACGCCTAAAGTCCATGCCTTTTCTACTAGAGTGCGAGGTAACGAGTAACGAAGCGATTTCCGGTTCGTCATCTTCACAAAGTATTGTCGACGAGCTATCAACTTTCGCACGTTTTTTCGGTACGAAGCCGACCTCGTCGCCACTACTATGACATTCTTCGAGTTGTTCCAGCAAATGGACGCGCTCCTTTTGGAGATGTCGAATATCGGGTGGTGGTAATAACGGTGGCGGTGGCGCAGGTGGATCGACGCTCGTAACGACACTTTGTACTGCGTGACGCCGTGATGGTGGCGGACAATCGTCGTCATTGAGTTTGCCATCGCTGAGAACGCTGCTCTGATAATCGTCGTGACTCGCACCGCTGCCTTGACTGAATTCGTCGTAGCTGCGAAACCGTCGCGACGTCGGTTCACCGTAATCAGCGTCGTAATAGGAATCCTGATAGGATCGCCTGCTACTTCGTGACATCGCCGTCGGATGGGCTGGACTTGCGCCCGGTGTACTGCCTCCAGAAGTACGCGAGTAATTCGCCGTTCTCGATCGCGGGGGCGTGTCGTAGCGTGTGAATCTGCTACTCGAACTCGACACTGTCACTGCCGAGTCGAAGCTACTACGCTCCCGCCTAGAAGGAATCCTTTGAATCACAAATACACTCGTTTTAAGTTCTTGATTATGACTCGTGAACTTAAATAAGCATGCGTCTTATATTATATTTCATTGTAATAAACTATCAATAATCTAACAAACTATCAAATAATTCAAAACCAGAAATTGTTTCAAATAAAGATTGGTAAATATTAAATATACAGATTAAAATTTTCTTATTTTATTTGTCAATAGATTTTTAGCTATAAAAAAATTGCTTCATAAATAAAGTATACATACGTTACGTCAAATGACGATGCTGGCGAAGGCCTCGAGTCCCAAGGCTTTTCGCTAGCATTTCCTTGACGTTCGAGATGTTCGTAAAACGTCTCCTGGCATTCCCTTGAGGCAAAATCGACTTGTAAACGACGACCACGAAGTGAAGCTCCCCGCATTTCTTTTACGGCAGATTGAGCGCAACTTATTTGATCGAAAAAGACCAGAGCATGGCCACGCTCACGGTCTACCACTACCTGAGTAATCGGTCCAAATTGATGGAATTGCATGGATAAATATTTCTCGGACATACAATCTAAAAAAAGGAAGATATTTAATGTCACAATTTGACATTATTAGTATTGTACCATATCTTTTTTTTAATATCCTCGTTTTTTCAAACTTTAATGCTGTTATTTGGTGTAACCTTTAACAAAATAAAATTACTGGCATTCGCTATTGTATTTTGCTAAATAATTCTATCACATTTTCTTTTACTAGTGCAATTGAAAAGATTAAATGTAATATATGTATAATAAAATACTCACCTCCAATACCATCAACCCAAACGCAGGATGTCGGCATTGATTTTCCGAATCCGAGCTTAATTCGATTTGCACCCAAATGTTCACCATCCATCGACCTCATAGCTTTAACGACACTACCGATATCCGAATATTGACAGAAAGCGTAACTCGATACAGCGCCTTGTTTTTTAATATCAATTTCCTGCAAGGAAATACAATGGGATGTATTAATGTCTTAATATTTATTAAGCTTAGATATTATTTTTATTTGGTCTTCTCATTTTGTTCATGATCTTACTTTTCCTTTTATACAATTGTTTACATTCATAAACAAATTGGTTCAGTTTCAAAACAAATTTCAACTCACTATTATTTCACCGAATGATTCAAAATGTTTCCTGAGCTCGGATGCGGTAACGTCTTTCTCGAGGTTCCCGATGAACAATGTTCTCGTTGCTTTCGGATGGTACTCATCGAGTTCCGCTTCGTACGGCCTGAACTCGTTGTCCTCTACGTCGTATCCTTGATAAGGGGCTACTTCAATTTTGCATCCAAAAAACAGCTTGTCTTGCGAAACCTCGAGAGCTTTCTCCACGTCCTCGGGTTTCTTAAAACAGACTAGGGCATATCTGTCGCCGGCTGCACCGACGACCTTCACCCACGTCACCTTGCCGTGTTTCTTGTACTCGTGGAAAAGGCCATCTTTGAGGGAAGTGTCACTGCTGCGTGCCGGCAGATTTCTAACGCAGATGGCCAATGGCCTGCGATCCTCTGTGACGGCTACGTTGCTCGTGCGATGCGGAGAGCTACCGGGCGACGTGCTGCCTCCGGAAGAGCTGCCGCCCGAGCTACCGCTTCGACTGCTGCTGCTACTTCCGGAACGACTGCTACCGCTTGGCGAACTGCTCCCACTGCGCGATTTTCTGCGCTGTTTCTTGTGCTGTCGCAGACCGGTGCTACCGCTACCACCGCCTCCTGCAAGAGAAGACAAAATGATAAAAAAAAATAAATACGCGGTAAATATAAAAAAGAAACATATATATTTGCTATTTTTTTCTTGACATTCAGTTATTTTAATTATTTACAATAATTGATACTTAAATGAGTAACGAATATAGAAACTTCATGTCATAATCACGGTGAAAAGTCTTTTATTGGATCAGAATGATTACCTTGTTCGTCTTGGTAAGCGTCATTGGTGGCAGGCGAGGGTGGCGGCGGTGCGCCGCCGTACCTCGAACTCGTCGGCTCATACGCCGACCAGGACGACGGCGGCAGACTTCCACGATGTCGGTCTAAGTGGGGCGGGGGCGGCGGCCCAGAGACGTACGGGCCGGTCCTCGGGTATAGCCGATCCCTCGCCCTGCTCGATGTCACGTGATAAGAGCTCGTAGGTGGTGGACGACTGCGGGGTATGTAGCCGCCAGGATCCGCCGTCGATGGATCGGCTGAATGACCGCCGACGCCGCCGCCACCGCTACCGCCGCCGCCGACGACGCCGCCACTCCCGGTGCCAACCACTCGGTTGCTCCTCTCGCTACCGTAGAAGCTGCCGTGGGCACCACGTGAGTCGAAATTCTCGCTTCCCCTGTCTCCTCGTTCGCCGCCACCGCCGCCGCCGCCGACCCCGGTACCGGTGCTCCCGCCACCGCCGCCGCCGCCGCCGGAAACGCCGCCTGTTCCGCCACCTCCTCCCCCGCTGCCGCCGCCGGATCCATGATCCTCTGAACTTCTGAAAGACGAAAAAACTGGGCTTAGTCATCGTCCAGGGAACGGCTATCAGTAAGTCGGGTCAATGTGAGTCGCCACGAAATACATTCGTCATTCTTCCTCCTCAGGATTCCGTTTTATTTATTTAACGGTTATGTAGTGAAAAACTTACAAGATACAAGTTAGATCTGCTTCACAACTAGCAAAGAAAAATATATTTTTATCTTTCTATTCTTAACGGAATATTTTAATTCTAGAGAACCGTTCATTTATATTCATTGTCTTTGGAATTGCGCGATTCACTTTGGTGTAATAATCTTTGGTTACTTTCAATCTTGATCGTTCGTCGTTTATCTCATCGTTTTATTCGTTACTTAATCTTGTCTGTCGATGAAAGAAGATTGGCACATAGTGAAGACCTTCCTGTGAAAAAAATAACGCTGGACTAAACTGGTTTTAACTGGTCTGATTCTAGCAGATCTCATTTGTGTAGTTGCTTTTTACGTCTAACATTACAACAATGCAGAATTTTCATATTTGTCGTCTTTCTACATATATTACTCAATTAGTGAATATATTAGAATTCCCAATGTCATATTTCATTTGCATAATTAATCTTATAATTTATTTTTTATGGCTAATTCAAAATTGATATGATACTCGATTTATATGATGAACTAATTTGCATGCATATTACAATGACAGTTCAGATATAAAACAAGATTTTTATAAAACTTGTAATTAACGTGAAAAAAAACAAGCACACGCATAGATATGATCAAAATTACAAATATTAAAAATATCAAAAAATGAAAATTATTGTATGCATGTAAGATAATTGCAGGTAATAGATACGTTTAGTAGAGAATCGTCCAAAGTTGTCAAACCTATTTCACCTCTCATCATTAATGAGAAAATTCAATTTATGATTAAGTATTAGGAATACCAATTTATGATATTTCCCATCAAAACTGATATTGTTTTTCCTTGACATTCATGTTGCGATAATTTTCGAGACAAAATAACAAATTTTGATGGTTTACCACTTTACAAACGAATTGTAAAAGTTTTTATTTATTGTTTACTCTAACAATAAGTAGATTTCAATAAGAACTTTAAATAATCATTCAGATTTATGGTATTTTTAAAAACTACAAAAAGATGTAAAAATTAAAAATCTCGATTGTAGAAAAAGAAATTTACTTTTCAGTAAAAAATTCAATATTTAAAATATGGATAAATGTTTATTATTGAACACTCTGTATAAGTGTTATACAGGGTGCAAGAAAATTGTCACATTCATGAACTTTGCGATGATAGAAGAAACTAATTATCGTATCTTTTTAGTGGCACGCAAAAATAAAATGATAACTTGTGTCGTATCAGTCATGCGAGAAAAAGCAATAGAGAAAGAATAGTGTAATAACAATAATACTACTGCGCGTATATTCCAGTCTGAAACATTTGGACATTCCAACGGAAAGTCCGAATATCAAAACGATACGAACATTTAGAACTAATGACGTATTCGCGTTTCTATCGCCCCTGGAGCTGCAAATCAACCTTCCTGTTCCTGCCGCGATTACAAGAGCCATTGTTCATATTTTTCCGACTGTTTTAATTTAAATTAATCTAATCTAAATTTAAAAATTAAAAATTATAATTTATTTTAAAAATTATACACAAAATACATATTAAAAATATATATAATGTGAAGAAAGTCAAATCTGAATAATGTTATCAGTATGAAGTTAAATTAAAACATCAATTAGAACAAGGAAATCTGTCTTTGTTTAACATTTGATAAACAACAACTATGAAGTGATGCTGTGAGCACTGTAAACGTCAAAGCAAACGCAGCCTAGATTATTCTAACTTTGAAGGATTCTAAAATTGTTGATCACTCGAATTTACTCTGGCATCACCAACATCATTGCGATTATATAAGAAAAAAAATTTATACTTTGAAACTTTGCATAACTCGATGACACTCGATCTTCTGAAATAAAATGTTATAAAATGACTATAATAATATGGACTCAATTTCACTCGAAAGGATTCAAAATATTTGAATAACTAAAAATATGAAATGTTTGCACACTTTGCAAAATAATTTTAACGAATAAAATAGCAGAGAAACACACTTAATTGGAGCGTGGTCCATATAACTCGCAAATTTCGTTATCTCAATAGGACTTTATTCGATAACGTTGTCATAAATATATTCTAACACGTCGATCGAAAGTCGCGACTCTTAGTAAGCGATCGACTGTTGTTGTAATGAGAACTCATCAAATGATATACATCGAGTGATTATATAGAAATAATAATCTCTTGGTACGTTGAAGTACATCACGATATTCGCTAATCGTTTTAATAGCTTTTTTAATATAAATGTATGTCATCGTCGAGAGATCGTTGACACGCTCGAAGATAAAACTTATTAAAAAATTGTTCGATTATCTGCTCAAGAAGTAAATTGTTTCACAAAATATCATATACTTTGCAGAAAAAGAAATTACAATAAACAATTATACAACTCAAAATAATTTTTCTCCAATATTATTTTCCAGGCAAATGTAATATAAATAAAATATAAGTTTTACATTAAATTATAATTAACAAAGATAATATAATGAAATGTTACGTTTTGATAGAAAATTAGGTCATCGCCACATGCATATGCATTTACTGATAACGTTTTGCACCACTTTGACAACAATAAACAAAAAGTTGACGTTGCGGAAATGCCTTCGCATCCAAGTAATCTAGTGCGCGCAAAAGAAATCATCATTATCCGGCGTAAATATCTCAATCCTGACGATCATATACGGTCAGGTGAGATGAGGAAGAGCGTTGAGATGAGGCGAGAGTCGTACCGCGGGCTCGTAAATTCCTGCTTACACTACTGACAGTTAACGCTCTCTTCCCTCTCCCCCACACACCCTTCCCGCTACAGTCGTCACGCTTCGACAGTTACTACTCCGGCGATAGCGCCCGCGCGGCGCGGCGTAGCCGTCGGGACGTGGCAACATCGCCAGCGACCACGTCGTCACGGTCACCTGACTTTTCGTGGAAATGCGACGCCGCTATACTCTCCTCGGTCGCGCGCGCGTGAATATAGGCGTGCAGGCGTGTAGCGTGCGCGCACGACCTTTTTTCCTCCTTTTTTCCCCGCTATTTCTCTCTCTCCCTCCCTCTACCTATATCTTTTTCTCTCTCGCTGCTTCTCTCTTCTCCCTGTCCTCCTCCACCATGGTGAGATCGATCGATTGAAGGTAGTCGCGAACTCTTCCGAACGCGACACGCGATACGCTTCAACTTGAAGTATGTGCCGCGTGCCGTCGATGCCACGGAGAAAGTGCAGCGTACTATCTATTTAGCAGTAGAACACGCAATTCGTCAAATACGCAGCAAATAGACGAGGGCAACCGCGTAGGTGATGACGTCGGAGACACGAAGCGCGAATGCGTGGCGCGTATCTCGCGGGAGAAAAAAATAAGCGAGAAAGAGGGAGTAAGATTACACTACATATTGAGCTAAAATAAATACGCCAGTGGTTCTCAAATTGAAAAATCACATATGAATATGTTCTATATTATTTGATATTCGATACATACGGTAACTATGTGGCTAGAGAAATATGGACGTGCAGATTATTGTATACAAAGATCTCTTAAGGCAGATACCGTGTATCTTTACACTGCAATCTTACACTACGTTTTTAGAAACATGAAATAATTTATAATCATCATACAATTACATTAATAATGCCATTTTAACGTACTTTTTTTTGTCACGTCGAAAATATCGACGATTCCTTGTAAAAACACATGTAATTTATTAGAAATACAGAATAACAATTTTTGACACCAACTCTAACACTGCGCAAAGATTTGCGCATTACGTATATTTATCCGTCATTTATCACGAGGCGTCATATCACCGAATATATTTGAAATCGTGTTGCTGGGCGGTCGATTTCGCATTGTTGTGACTACTCTAATATTAACTCGGGGAGAGAGAGAGAGAGAGAGAGAGAGAGAGAGAGAATGTGCATGTGCGTTGTGTATCTGCTATGTTAAAAGCCAAAGATAACAGCGGATAACGATCGGCAACGAAGCTAACATCGATAATATATTATTATGCGCGACGCTTGACATTACGATCGGGTTATTTACGTCAGCAAAAAGAATTGTATGCGCCTTCAAACGTGTTTACTGAAATATAGATGCAACAATAGCACTACGTGGCATTGGACGATTATTGCGATATGATTAATTCTTGAAATCGTGAAAAAAATGGCATGATTCGTAGAAATAAGAACAAGATAGAAAATATCTGAATGATGTGATCTTACGACTATCCTCAATATGTTTAATGATTTCAGATATAATAAGTTTTCACTATATTTACTTTAAAGTTCCTAAATTAATAAAATAAAATGAATTAAAATTAAAACGCCAAGAATATGCGAATCTAACTGTAATCACTGAGTTTCGATCAAACGGAAAATCGGAGAAAGATAGCTCAAAGATTTGTGTAATTTTCATTCGTAGATCACATACGAATTTTTGTTGAAAAAATTAAAGAAAAAAGAAAGATTAGTTGAAAAGACTGTTCATCCATAACGACGTTTCAATGTCGTCTTTTTGTACCTGCTTCCTGTGACGTGCGATTTAATTAATTCCTAGGGCGTGACTCATCGTAAACCGGCACTTGTACATGCTACTTTGAAGCCGAAAATATCTTTCTATTCTTGGACAAGATTAATTTGGAGGAAAAGGTACGATCAAGAACATTTCCATATCGATCGAGAGGATGCGGCCGAAATTAATTCTCACTAATACGTTGCCACATTGTAGCTAAAATTGGTAACAAAAATGTTCAATTTGTTTATTTGTGAAGTTAAAATCTCTATACTTCAAAACATACATCTAAGAACTTTCCAACTAATCGATAATAAAACAAAAGAATAGATTAAATCGGGACGTTCTCTCAACCATTTAACTACTATTTCCTCATGATGAATGTCAATGTCACATTATCTATATTATGATCAGAACTAATTTAATACACAGCTAACAATCATAGTAATTTATCATACCGATAGATAAGAGACCCTGCGAATTCTTATCTATAACAAAAGATAGAATTATATCACATCATGTAGCTACTGCGTCTAATGTATATCTTCTCTCTCTCTCTCTCTCTCTCTCTCTCTCTCTCTCTCTCTCTCTCTCTCTCCAAAAATACACATCTCTTTCTGTTGAGATATAACACCATGTGTCTACTGTGCCCTTGTTATTCACGCTGTGTAGTTCCGTTTTAAAAAAGTCGGCTGTGTATATTGAGTCAGCTGTACGGAAAATCAATACTATGAGGAAATCAATAGCGAGAATTAAGATCAGTCAACAAATTATCAATTTTGTAAATACCGGAAATCAGGGAGAGCTATTGCTTTTTGTGGACGTCCTGGCTTCGTAATAATTTGTATAATTCGTTATTTCTTATTAATGTTGCGTTCGAGTCGATATACTTTTTACTATTTCATGTGAATGCTGTGAGTAACTGCGAGAAGTATGTGCATACTGATCATTGAACATAATATATCTATCTTGTATCTTGCATTTTTCGAGCTTCTCTATTTTTCAAGGGGAGTCTCCTAAATCGTGGCGACTCGTATAGAAGTATTTTGTAATGAGGGAACCTACCCGTGAGAGGGGAACCTGTGCTGAAGATGTTGTGGCTCGTAGTACTGTGTGGTGAGGGCTCGCTCGTCCAGCGTATGCTCAGTCGCGTGTGCCTTCGCTGCGGACTTGATATCCATGAACGCCACCGTCGCTGCCGCACCCCCGCTGGTCGAGGAACCGCCGCCCCCGCCACCGCCGCCGCCGCCTGAACTGGAACCGGAACCGCCCTCATTGCTTTCGCCAAGGGAACTGCTGGAACCTCCGTCCACAGGGCACTCCTCGCCCCGTGGCAGCAGCTTGACGCTCTGCACGCGCCCATATCTGAAACCATCATTAATCTTCATGTAACAAATGTCAACGTCATTTATCGAGGAGACACGAGTTCAATCAAGAGTGATTTCGTCAGATGTTTTCCGACTTTGCCTAATCTAATTTGCGAGAAGGGACGTGGGGACTTTGTTTTTGAAACATCGCTTATGATTTATTTGTAAAGGATTTTCTCAGGTTGTATCGTTTTCGAATCGATATCGAATTTGCTGATATTAGCTTGATTAATAGTTTTGACATTGAAGACATGGTTGTTTGTCTGTTACTGTAGAGTGGAGCTTTCGCAAAATATTATGAATATTCAAAGCAGCGTGACATATTGATCATGTAAAATAATCGATATAAATTAATGTCTCGTGTGTCTACTTATATTTTTAAGAAGCAACCTATTCCCGCGCGCGGAATGTATCTTTCGTTAGCAAACATTAGCTAGCTCCTACAAATAATACGGCAACGTCGTGCTTCTATGCGCGGCAACTGCGCCGAAGGGATCTCGCTGGGATCGTTTAGGATTTCGAAGAAAGAAAAAGAGATCCGCGAAGCACAGAGACCCCGTAATCCTCAGCCTCTAGAAGAAAGCTCTCTCGATACTCGATGCGAGCACAGGAAATTAAGACCAAAGTAAAGGAAAAAGAGAGAAAGAGAGAGAGAGAGAGAGAGAGAGGAGACAACAGAAGAAGTGAAAAAAGAGAAAAACGAGACCTCGATCGAAGTCTTCCTCCGCTACGTTCAGATCAGTACAGATAAAAATCGTCACGATGTTTTTGCAGGGAGAGACCATGACGGCTCTCGCCGAATGACTCGACTCACGACAACACGAAGAGAAAGAGAGAAAGAAAAGGGGGGCAATATGAAAGAAATGACATATAATAAATATATAAGGTGGTCCAAAGAAAACGTCGACTTTAACGTGCCGCCGCGCTTCATGGATTGCCTCAAGTTAGCGGCACGGCGATCCGTGCTATTTAGTCTATGAAGATTTACTCACATAAAATGTCACATTGTTACGAAATAGTACATCTTCGAATCACGAATAAAATTCATTCTATTCAGATCCATTATTGGACAAAAATCTAAATTGCATTACAATGTTTACGAATAGATATATCTCAAGTTTAAACGCAAATTTAAACAGGGCAAATAAAAGTCAACGCGCGCTTAGCAGGGCGGACGATGCAATTATTATTTACATGTTATATATGAAAAATATAGCTTGATGTTAGTATTCAGTAGACAAATTACCCAGTGCCGCATAGCTGCAGGATTTAATGCAACATGACGTCAAACAGATTAGGTTTCGATTTTTTTGTTTGCTTCTATATTCGTAAATTTCTTAGGTAAATCTTTATCTTAGAATTTTACGTTTTCCGCCTAGAAATTTAACGATACAGAAGTCGAATGGCGAAACGGGGGAAAGTTTTTCCAGGACATAAACGTTAGCGCCCGGCAGCGCCAATATCGATTTATTCCCCGATTGCACGTCGCGCTATTCTGCCGTCCCGTTGGGAAGCGCCGATATCTTTCGCGTTTCGCGTCTCGGCCTCGGCGCAATTTTGAATCGGACGAAGTTTCGAACGAAGGGCAAAAGGTAAGAGAGCAAGGAGAGAGGATAACGCGGCGGAGTGAGAGAGGTCTCGTTTTCAGACCCCTGTAGTAGAGAACTTAGGATATTGAATTTCGCACGAAATTAAAGAAAACAAAGAGTCCGGGAAGTTGTTTCTGGCACACCCTGTGTGTGTACAGAGAGAGCGCTCGGCGGAGGCGAGATATCGCCAAGTAGGGGTGATCGCCGTCGTGGTGGGACCGGACGCGCAACGATTGGCCCTGCCGAGAGGAAACGTCGCACGCAAGCGCAAACACCAGGACGTTCGGGGACTCTCCCGGGGAGTCGTTCGTCTAATCTCGCGTGAGTCGCACGTATCTCTACTCTGCTCTCCCGAAGGACTTCTCTGCCATTTAGCCGTATAACTTAACCAACTGCGTATTTCTCATAAGCGTACATCATCGTAGGGGGGAAAAAAAGATAACTATATAGAAAGAGAGCTTCTACGCATCACGCGGGGACACGAGTCGTATCGTATGATCGTTTCGCGCGTTTAGACGGCGAGAGGGAAATGAGAGGGTTGTGCCCGAGATCTGGACGGATTACCTCTGCAGGGATATTTTACTAGGGCCCTCCACAAATCGAAGAGCGCTGGAGACTAGTTTTCCTCCAGACTAGTAGAGGCGAAAAGTCTCGAAAGAGGCAGCGAGCGTGTCGCCGATACCTGGCATATGTTTCTCCTCTCGGTGTCGACCGCTCGAACGGGGCGTGGCCCCTCTTTGTCGTTCTATCGACTAGAAAAGGGCTTTTTTTGCGTTTCCTTGTTGTTCGTTGTTGTCGATAATGCTCGAGTACTTCTCGCGTAGTTTCGATGAATCGATCATTAACGAGCGGAAAAAGAGAGAAAAAAAAACGACCGAGAAATTTCTCGTTATCGAGGACTCGAGGTATATCTTGACGATCGAGAATTATTTTTGGAGTCTCGATCGTTTCTTCGGCGAGGAAGGCGAGGAGAAGATGTCAAGAGAGCGAACGCGTAAATCTTGCCACGTATGCATCTGGAAGAACGAACGCACGCACGAAATGGCGGACGCGCTGTGGCGGCCCATCGCGCGCTCTCTCTCGCATAATCGGCGCTTCGTTCTCCATCCTCCCGCGCTCATTTCTCCCGATGTAGGAAAACCTGCGACACTTTACGCACGAGACGTTTTACTGTGTGATCTGTGCTGTGTTCTCTCTGGATCCTACTGCCGCGCGTACTGAGAATTCCCGAGACTGTGCGAATCATTCTCATTGCTGCATTATTCTCGGCGCGTTGCACAAGTGAACCAGTGAATGCCCGTAGTTGCGATATCCCGTGCTCGAGAGGCGAAATCTCGCTGATGCTGGTGCCGCCAAGACTTTCGCGTGTTTCTGTTTTCGAGAAAGCGTCGAGGATTTCGAAATTTTTGTCCTAAAACTATGACCTCCCTCAACGACGAGAGACACGATCTTATTTCGTCGATCAGTGTCGAGTTTCTGATATATAGGAAAACTGAGCTGAGAGAAGTTAACTGTCTAAAATTGTAATATTTCCATATCGATTGCGCGCAAATCTCTCTCGTTCATCCCTCCCCTTCCCCACCGACCGACTGCGAAAACTGCGTAGCTGAAGATCCCGTTGCAACTACATGATTCGTCAATGTTTATCGGCCATCGTGTGAATCATCCGTAGCGAGAAACGCACAGGGATGTGGCGCATTTTCATCAGATCCAAAGAAAATTCTCTCGCTGGCGTTACTGGAAACCGCGACCGCGTTCTGGCCCCTCGCTCGAGACGAGAGAGCGCCGTTGCCGCCGCTGCCTCTCTTTCCTTCCTCGTTCTTACGCCGTCTACCCCTCGGTCCCCCTCGCGCCCATCCCCACGTTTCCTGATAAAAAAAAAGGCACGCATACACAGAGACACGTTCGTCGGCGCGCTTTAGTACGAGTTTCAAACACAACGGGCGCCCCTTTTCTACGTCGCTCGTATGAGTGAAAGCGGGCGAAGGGAGGGAGATTAAGCGGGGCAGAGAATGTGTGTGCGTGCGAGAGTGGGGACACGAGAGGGGTGAGGGTAATGGCGGAGAGGAAAGCCGCCGCCGCCGAGTGCCACGGTGGCTGGCTGGCTTGCTTGCTTGCTTGCTTGCCTGGCGAGCGAGCCGTGAATCGTGTATCCCTTCCCCTCGGGTATCGCTCCCGCCGGTCTCCTCTATCCTCCCCTTCCGTCCCTTCTTTATCCCCCTCAAAATGCTCATCGAGGAATTTTACTCTGGCAGACTCGCTCCCAGGCTTGGGTTCCCCCCTCTGTTTTCTGGCCGACGCACGACGACGGGTTCTCTGCTTTATGCGGCGGCATTAGCATGGGTCTCCATAAACCCGAGGAAGTCTCTAGGTCAGCGCCGTGTTCTTCTACGTTACAAGAACCGGCCAACAGTCTCGCTCGTTTCGCTCGTTTCGCTCGTTCCCGGGCTGAGATAATACCTCTCGATCGCGAAGCCATTTAAAACGCTGCTCCGATACTAATGATCGCGTCCAATGGATAGTTTCTATCACGATTCTAGCGCTACGCTTCCAACGGCAGCGCCCGGCGCGGCGGAACGATCGTTGGACGTAATGTCTTTTCGACTGTAAAGAAAACTACGCGGGCGGCGCAAATGGAAAAACACCGCGCGTAACTTTACCTTCCGACGATTAAACCAATTTATGCGAGCAAACTCACGCGTGCAGCTTCGCAAGGGGAACGGTAAATTTCCGTAAATGATTTGAAATATTTACAGCTTGCTCTGATTACCAGGGACGCGAAAATCACCTTGTTATAAACAAATTGTTTCCTGAAAGATACATTTCTTTTCTTCTATGTATAATTTATTGTATACAAAATTATATATTATATATTCTGTATACTTCAGAATCATCATATACACCGTCTGCCCCCCCCCCCCCCCCCGTCGATGACTCACTGGTCGAAGTGTGAAATGTATTTGCGTCGTATTATCAGTGTACACGTAGTTGCAGGTGGACATTATCGCGATTACATCGACGGGTACTAAAGCCGCTTTAATCTCGCCGTCCATCGCGAACGGTGACGGTTCGAACGATCGCACGTCTTTCCACGTTTCAAACGGGAGACGTACAGGAAATCAATACATCGGCCCACGGCGAAGAGTCTGAGGGGGCGAGAAACAAACGCAGAAACTCGTCTTCCGTAAACTCGTCAGGCGTTATAAATAAGGAATTATCGATCTATTTCATCCGATGGACGCGATGCGACGTCGTCCCTCCTGTTTATAGAGGCGTCCGTAAAGATAGTAACGTGGCATTTTATCGCATTTATTGCGAAGGCTCGCACGCTCGATCATTTCAAGTTATAATGGCGTGTTAAATTATTAAATTAAACGCGAACAGAAATGTTCGCGTTTTTTATTTTCTTTTACAGCCGATACAGTCGGAAATTCATTAACGCGCGTGCTACTCCTCCCGTTTAAATATTTAATCCCCTTTCAGAATGTCAGCCTGACAAATAATTTCCATTCGTAGATGGCAAATAATAATGCGTTACAGACCAGCAATTTTTTTTATCGCTTTATATATGAAACGAGATGTCACTTTTTGAATGTCATGTTAGAATTCGATCTCGTTAAAAAAAAAAAAAAAAAAAAAAAAGCGACTGAAGAATGTACCGAGACCCGGAGAGACTTGACATCAATTTTTACACACGCGATGTACGCCGGTGTACGCCGAGGCACTCTTCTGCATTTTTACGTAAATAAAATATCGCGCGCCTCTTTAAGAATATACGCTCGCGCAGAATATACGCGCGCGCGGTTTACACGGCGATGCGCGTTGCACAAGAGGCCGGGGTTTTCGCGAGTGTGACGATCTAACGTTAACAATGCGAGGTTTCGCGAAGCGCAACGCGGGTAAAAAGGAACACAATGCCCAGAGTGGGCACATCGTCGGCAATGACGGCAATGACGACGACGACGACGACGATGACAAAAAGAGAGAACTTTTGTTCCTCCAGCGGCTCTCGACCGCTCTCTCGCTCGTGCTCTCTCGCGGTTATGCTCCGGCTCTCACCGCATAAAACCGTCTAGCAATGCCGCCACAAAGATGTTTACCGTTAGAAATCCAAAGGGTTCCGAAGTCGAAAGAAATTTATCGGTCATTTTTTTACCTGCATTCACCTTTCAATTCTTTTTACAAATGATAGATAAATGCCGCGTTACTTTTTATAAATTATTCCGCGCTGCGCACACGATGATGCAACGCAGAATCTCGCGCGAATCTATTTTGTTTGTCAAGCGTCTAATGAATATTATAATTATCGCTGAGAAACGATTATTAATCGAAAGTCGAGCGCTGACGAGACAATGAAATACTGACGTCAATTGAATGCCGGAAGAAACAGAGTTATGTATTTTGACGATAAAAAACGCAAAAACAAGCAATTTCTATGAATATTCGTTATAAAGATAGATTGTATCCTCTTAACGATCGTGCCGGCATTACCTCATTATTATAACATGGTTACTAACTAGATGATTCGATCATGTAACTAACGCAAGTAGGTCGACTAACTGATAAGGATTTGATTGTGTATAACCGCAATGCCGCGAGTATGTAGAAATTATGAAAGTACATACGTGTATAATTCGAACACAGACTCTTATTATAGTTATAACTTATTATAGCCTGAGTTACAAATCCGTGTTTTGAACCAGGCTGTTATATCAGCCTCAATATAAATATCACGACAGGGATTGGCACTCACAATTACAGTTGAAGAAGACCGTATATATCTTAATTAAAAATGTCCAAGATTCAAGGAGACTGACAAACGATATTTCGACGCGTTTCTCCATTATCGGAAGGGAAGAGACACCCTGTCAAAGTTAGCGTCGCGGTAGACTCGGAGAGGAAAACTCTGATTAACATCGAAATCCGATGTGAGAGAACTTCCAATATTAAATATTCTCCGGAATGTTCGGCGAACGTGTCTATAAATAGACGATCTTTCGTGGGAATCGCTTCGAATCGGAAGCGGTGAGAGCCACAGCCGCGGCGAGACCGTGTGCGATCGTTTCGGGGCAGAAAGGAATATATATATAAAAAAAAAGGCAATTCGGCATATCTCCCTGAAACTCAGTCGGCCGGCCGTCCCTCTAGAGAGGCGGACGGCACGTTCTCCGGCAGACGACACTGACACAAGCGGCGACTATCGCGGGCCTCCGTCGTGTCGAGACGCCCCAACGAGGCCGGCGAGGAACGTGGCAACAGCGCTATGACTCAGCTCTCCTCGTTCTCCAACCGCTCCCCCGTCCCTCCCGTCCGCTACCCTGCCCCGCGACCCAACCCCGTCCTCCCCCCGTGTACCCGTCGTCCAGCCGGCACTACGCAGCTGACGCCCTTCCCCTCCCCCGCCAAGGGAAATTGCCCCACCATTACTCCGCCATCCTTCCTCGTGTCCCAGACTCGGGTCTCCACTCTTCTCCACCCCTATCGGCCCCTACGCGTATACACCCCACCACCGTCGCCCCGGCCGTGCCGACTCTCGCGCGCGGGATACCGACAACTCGTTTGCCCCCACTAAACTTCCCGGCGGGCACACGGGGACGATTTCTACGACGGCGCGGTGTGGCGCGTCGCGTTCGTGCCGCTTCGCCGAGGAGAGACGAGCGTGCAAAGCCAGCGCAAAAAAAGTCCCCTTTGGAAGAAAAACATCTCTCTTTCTCTCCCTCTCGCTGTATCCCATCCCGTATCCGCCGACCCTATCTCCACCCGTCTCTCTCTCTTCCTTCGTCCACCTCCGCGGGACTCCCTCTTCCCCTATACCTCTGCCGGTTCCTTCTCGTTGTGTTCCAAGACCCTCTCTCGGTCTCTCTCCTCTCGTTCTTGCTCCTTTTGTCTCGGATCTTCTTTTTCAGGGCCTTCTGCCATTCTGTTTCTGTCCGTCCCGTGGCAGGGACGAACAATGCAACGTGATCCAGGTGCAAGAATAAGGGGAGGGTAGCAGGAGGGAAGGCACCGGGGGAATAGGGGATGGAGGGAGAGAAAGTGGGATTGCTGGCCGATGCGTGCGACGTGACTAGTTACGGCATGCGTGAGCTAAATCCATTTCTACGCTTCGCGCTTATTTTTCGGTCCTGTCTATTGTCAAAATCGATGGGATTACTTCGATTTCCCCTGCAGTTGCTAGGCGAACATCCTCGTTTAGAGATCCGATAATATTCGGCACAATTCGAATGTGCGATTGGGAGAATAGAAATATCCGTTTTATTGGTATTATCTTTTTTCTCGCGAGAAATCTTTTCTTACCAAATCCAATTAATATTCTCTCTCTCTTTCTCCCGCTGTTATATTAGATTGACCTTTCTTGTCGGACGCACTATCCCCTGATATCGCTTATTTCTGTGTAACATCGATTCATTCGACAGGTTTGGAATTAAAAGCGTTTTTGCGAAGTCGATAAACCTAGTTTCTAACGGCAACTATCACGGGCTCGTATATGTAAATCGACACGAATTATTACAGTACTCTAATGTGTTCTTGAAACAGAAGTCGTGAAATCGTGTTATCAATAATTGTTTCTTCATTATCGCAACTTGGATAAACGTAGAAATACGAGTATTTATGCGACGATCGCTAAAAAGCATTCGAATAAAATAATAACACAACAAAAGAATGAACATGCCAATATGTATATAACATTAGCAGTATATCTTCTTAATTTAATTTTCTTCTCAAACGAAATTGCACATAATAATACATAATTACAGTTTTAATCGCAACGATAATGTAAAACGTCCGATGCGAGAGAAAGAGAGAGAGAGAGAAACGTTTATTTATAACTTGATTGCAAGCGGTCAATGAACGTGCTTTATTCATTGGCACATCTCAGAAACATTTTATAGAGGTATAAAATTATAGAAGTATAAAATGTCTTTATTAAAAAACTAATCAAGATGTTGTCTAAGATTCATTCAGCCTAATCATCTTCACGAAATTAACATTTATGGATTAAATTCTTTTTCGGAAATATAACATTTTTTTTTTTTAAAGATATAAGTAAACTTTTTGAGAGTTTTATTGAACAGTATTATGATTCGAACTTGTTCGCAATTGAAAGGTTTAATAATTTTTATCGTGATTGGAATTCTTCAAATATTATATATAAATACATACAAAAGATAAAGGAAGATCGCAATAGAAGGCGAAGCCTTCAAATAAGTGATTTCAAGTGTAATTTATGGTCGGGGCATTTTGCAGAACTTAATATTGACGTGAGATAATTGCTTTTCCAGTTCATCCTGTTGAAAATATAAGCGGCTTTAGAATTAATCGCGCGATCGTTCCGTAATCTCCGAATTATCCAAAGAGCCTTCCCCGGTCTAAATCCAGGCAGAAAGGAGAAGCCAATGACTACGGAGCCGAGGCCCCGCGTAGGTTCGAGGTCGAAGGCGGAGAAGTCACGTTAGGCGAATGTGCCGCTTCTGTGTCGTATAGCCGAGGTGCCGTTATTTTAATGCAGATACGCGGAGACCGGACGAGAATGAAAGGCCGTAGGAGACACATTCGCGCGTTGCATATACTCTTGCGCCAACGCGCGACAAAGAGGCACTACCACCACCATCACCGTCTCCGTATCTCGCCGTCGGGTTTCCCGCCAGGATTTTTCCGCTCGGCGAGTACCATGATGCATGAATAGCCGCTCATTATCATTTCGCGAAGACGGTCCGCGATTTTTATGTATTTTTCCTCGCGTGATGAGTGACGGTACGAACTGTAGAACGAAGAGAGCGTAAGACGTCTCGAAATCACCGGGCAAGACCACATACATAGAGCTGTTTTCTGTGAAATTTTAAAGTCAGTTTCTTTTTATCGAGATATCAATAACCTTTCCAGACTGTAAGCCACCGAGCTTAATAATAAAAAAAAAGCTGTTACGGAAACCGCTTTTTCACAAACTAATTTTCAATCTCAAAAACGAACATAAGTAACAGGATTATTCGTCGTTTAATTTAAAGTGAACTTTAGAGCCAAGTTTTATTTATTAAGTTATTAATTACTAAAGTACCGAATGCTATTAGAGTGAAAAATGATAGACTCCATCATTTTCGCTAAGAAAAAAAATTGAAAAATTAAATATTGAAAAAGACCACATTTATGTAACATTTACGTCAATTATGATTCCATTTTATATCTCGTATAAAATGGACAAAAGAACAGGATATTAAAAACGAATTTTATTTTAAATGCCATGGATGTAAAAAAAAAAAGAATTAATACAGCACGAGGCTTGTATAACGACGGTAGTTAATGCAAAATTGTAGCTATATTTTAGTCAAGTTAATTATACCGCGACATCCGATGGTATCGTTAATAATTTTTTTTAGTAACCGACGCGACGGTCGATTACGAATCCAATTAACTTGCGCGACTAAGTCGAGCCCGATAGCGATATGGAAATTTTCTCCGCGATTTTAATGCGGATGCGTACGCGGAGACATAATGTGTGTATGTAGTCTTAGCTCGAAGATAAATCATCACGGAAATATTCCGCGAGTCGGGTCAGACAGCGTCTGGACAATGCAGCCTGCCTAGCAGGTTTCTAAATACCTAGCACCTGTTACAAGTCTAATTCTTCCGTAGCAGTGGTTCCCAAACTTTCCAAAACAAACTCCCCGCTACTACGACGTAGTGCCGGAATGATTTTCTATCGAAGTACATATATAAATATATAATTCTTGTACCTATGACGATTCGGTCAATCAACAATTCGCAATAAAAACTGTCGCGTTCATAACATTAAAAATAATTTTATCATACTTAAATACTTAACATCTAATTTGTAGAATTTCGAATTATCAGACTTCATCAGATTAGATTTCTCGGGATTCGCACTAATTTTCTTTCATACGTATTCTAGATTAAAGCGTATCAGACCTTACTGAGATTTTTTGACTAGCGCACATGATTTAGACGAACGGAGAGAGAGAGAGAGAGAGAGA